CAAGAGCAAGAGGGGCTTTAGGGAGGGCAGGAGACCTGGGGCAGGTGGAATTCACTGGGCAGTGTTTGGAGGTCCCTTGGGAAGGATTTGCCAGGTAAACACTAGAGATTGTTACTAGAAGTGCATCGGTAGCAGGGGGACAAGAGTATGAGCAGGAGGGCTGCAGGCAAGGGTTTGGGGAAGAGTCCTGGCAGGGCTCCAGGGTATCCAGCTGTACCCATCATGGGAAGCCCAGTGCCAAAGAGCCCCTCAGACAGGTATTGCCAACCCCCAGCCTGGGCTGGGTTCTCTGCACTCGCTGTTCTCTGATCTTTCTTATAGTTTGTCATTAACGAATGTCACAGGTTTCCTCTTTGTTGCTCTTTCTCACAAAGCCCACGTACAGCTCTGTCGTGTTAATTAATTTCTTCAGATACTGCCTTTCCACGTTTGGTCCTTGATAAAACACTTGCAAGCAATCCAAAATAAGACTCAAAGAGATTTCTCACATGGCAAGCATAAAGTTTCACTATGTACCGTAAATTCTCTGTGATTTCTGTGTCAAGGCTCACCAGCTCCTGATGTGAGCACTCCTCTGTGTTGGAAATGAGGGGTTCATTCCATGTGAGTGGTGCAAAGATCCTCAGGACAGCTGCACTGGAGGGCTGCAGATCTTTGTGAATATTCAGCTCTAGATGGGGTATTGACTCCCAGAGAATTTCCCAGGAGACAGTGTCTCTGGGAGCCCAAAACTGGCAGTTCATAGAATCATGGAACTGCAGAATGGTTTGGCTTAAAAGGGACCTTAAAGATCATCCAGTTCTAGCTCCCTGCCATGGGAAAGGACACCTTCCTTAGACCAGGTTGCTCAGAGCCCCATCCAGCCTCAATGCTCACCAACATTACCTGAACTGGCACAACAACATTATGTGATGGAAGGGAACAGGAGCTAAACATTTTTTCTTCAAATCTTCAAGACAAGACCAACTCTTCCCGCTCAGGAGGAAGAGGAGGCCGACAAAAGGCTGCAGCAGGCAGCAAGGCTCCTGGTCCTGGTTATTGGGAAGTGGATACTCCGTCTGATTTCTCCCCAGAAGAACTCAGCCACTTGAACCCAACCCACCTTTCCCACGGCAGGAAAAGGCCAGCCAGTGCTCCTGACGGATGGCTGTTCACTACGGCAGACCTCACATTCAACAGTTAACAGCCAGCATGTTTACAGGCAACATTTTTTTTGGCTGCTGTCCCTGGCATGTCAGTCCTGTTTAGCCAAACGAACTGGGAGGAACACTGGTGCAAGTGACAGGCGCAGAGACAAGTGCTGCAAGAAGCTCATTTGCACATCGAGTTTCACAGCCCGGCTCTCCCTTCCTGCTCCATAAGCTCATCAGCTGCTGCTGCAGAGCCGCCAGTTTTCACAGGAATGATGGAGCTCACAAAACCTTCTTTTTATTTTTTCTTGCCTGCCTGCTTAGACAACAGATTCGAACATAACCCATTTTTTCTAATACTGAGAATAAGCCCCCTTTCATGTGGAAATGTGGGTTTAATGTAAATAGCTCGTGCTGCTCTGATTCTCTCTGAGGGCTGTTGGCTGTTGGCAGTCCCCCTGTTGTCTTTCAAGTCACTTGGGAGTCACTGCTGCTGAGATGGGGACGGATCTCAGAGGGATGTGCAGTCTCTCCCGGGTGCTTCCTGCACTATGTGACAGTTTTTATCTTGGCCGTATTTCAGAATATGCAGCAAACATCTGCAGCTGTGAAATTGTCTCCACCTGCCCCCAAAATAACGTGGTTAAAGGGGAGTAGAGAGTGAGCGTGACATGAGGGCTCTGGAGGGAGCCCTGCCATCCCAGCTCCATCTAAGCTTCGTGTCCCTTGCAAGTGTCCAAGGCCACCCCACAGAGCCTCATGTGTTTGTAGTTGTGTACCTCACCCCACACCAGGTCACAAAGGCCACAGGACTGCTCAGGGCTTTGTCTCCCCGTTCTCAGTACTCAGACACATCAGCTTTCCAAAGCAGCATAAAACCCAAGAATCATACAGTGTTGTGAAAAGTATTTATTAGAATTGTCAACATTAAATTTTCCTTACTATTTTCAGTTTGTTGTGGAAATTAAAACAAGAACCACGTTTTCCAGCTGCAGAAATGCTGCTTTTCAGCCAGTTTTAGTCTGCGGCTGTTTACAAGACAGTATAAGTTTTCACTGCCTAATAAAAACAATCATCTGTATTCCATGGCTGCAAGCAACAACACTGTGAGAGAGTGGAGTAAGTCGAGGAGGCTTTGGAGAAGAATATGAATTATCTCACCCGGAGAACAAAGCACAGACGGACCCTGAGCACTGAGGGAAATTGCACAACAACGTGCAGACGAATCTCCAATCCTGCACAGTTTAACTGGGGGATTTTATACTTTTGAGAAAAAATGTATTTCTTGAATATCCCCATAGGTACAGTCTTGCCACTTTATTTCTGCAATTTAAATTGTTGCTTCTGTTTTTTAAGGCCAGGCTGAATGGACAAGCATTTAATCAGCCAAGTTGGATGGAGGAGCGCAGGTACCACTGAGACTCGTGGGACGACTCTGCAATGAGCAAGAACATTAAAGGCTGCTATAAAGAAACAAGCTCCTGTGCCCTCAGATGGACAGAATTATAAAAATCCCTACAGCATCCCCAAAGCACTGAATTAACTGGAAAAGGAGCTGTGTTTAATGTGATGGATGGAGCCCACGGGCCCCATCGCGGGGACGTGGCCGTCAGGGCACCGGTACCTGCCATTGCTGCCTGCAGCACCTCCCCAGGAACATCAGACAGGATAATTACGTACTTAAATCTGGGTGCTTTACTACACAGAAATTCATCTGCTACCCTCAGAGTCCTTGAAGTTAAAGAGGGATTTGAGTTACTGACATAATTTGTTCCCTGAGGGCTGTGAAAAGCAGAGAGAACATCTGAATAATAACTCTCCGACCACATCTTGAATGGGAGCGAGC